CCACAGCTTTTCAATAGTAGCAGAACCTCAGATCAAACATACTAAAAACGAGCACTATTTTAGTTTATTTGAATTTCTGAAGGCACCAACAATAGTTTTGGTGTTTGGAAAAATTGTTCGTTCTGCAGATAGTTCACCTGTAATGAAAAATATCAATAGTTATTGACACCAAAACTGTGAGTGACACATATTTAAAAAAAAAAACGAGTTAACATTGTTGGAGTTGTAGAAGATAGAAACATTGAGGGGATAGTTTATCTTGAAAATTCAACTGGTCATCATTGTCTCAATTGAATTTTTCATGTCACAATATGAATGTGTGAATTCCTGTAGGAATTTTAAATTATTTCTAAATAATAATATCATCCTATTTCATTTTCGTAAACTTCTCCTGAATCTAGTATAACTGCGACTTGAATCGGGTTGACACAGATGTCTAGATGCCTCAGCCTAGAGCCAATGTGACATCAAGTAAAATTAACTGAAAAGATTTTTCTGCAAGAAGCAATCATATAAAACTGACCCAACCTAAGATCTTTCTAATGCTAGTTATGGTTTTCCAAAAAGACAAAAACTTTTTTGAACGTTCAGTATAGTGGCATTAACGGTGAGACTGTTGATAATTAATTTAAATTTCTCAGCTAGCCTTCTGAATTGCCTGACTTGCTTCAACATTGTCGATGGAGTCTGATAGAGAAAGTATTTTTCTAACACACTTGACGTAGCCAGTTGCATCTGCCGCCGGGGTTGATGAAACTTGTAGTTTGGCAGTACTGAATGTTATTTTTCTGTTAATCTCATTGTCTGATGCTGACACAACTGTGCACAAAGTAACTGTCTTGTTTCTGTCTACATCCAGGTGAGCAGAATTGACCCAATTCATTTATTGGGGCATTTTGAGCAGGTCAATTCTCAGATGTAATATATTTCACCAATGATTCAGTTCTCAGATTCTTGCGTATCCCTTTCTATGAGATATGTGTTTTTTTCAGCATCTATTTCTTGATGTAACTGTGGTACGGTGTTCGTATTTGCTTTGGGAAAGACCCCAAGTAAAGCAAGCAGTTTACTATTGATCCTTGGGGCTGATGATAGCCTCTCCAAAATGATTGAGTGACTGTTCTGATCATCTTTGTGAGCTGTAGACTGTTGATTGATGAGTAAGTGTTGTTGTCATGTGACAACAGTCAATTGATTATGAGTAAAACACATGCCCACTCAGTTCATATTAATTAAAAACCTGTCTTGCTCATTCATCACAATGCTGTGTGAGTGAACATACGTTCACTCGATTTAACATTGTGAGTCACGCGACCACAAATCCCAATTATGAACTTTCCATCTATTTTCCAACAGTACGCACGATTGTTGAACGCTTCAGATCATTCGAAGTATTTGGAACTTTATTTCGCATGTAATTCTCCACTTGAACTTTCCGATATCAATTCATTCATCGGTTTGTCCATTTTCCTTTGAAATTTTTCCAGTCTCCGTTTCTTTTCCCTGTCTTTTTTATGACTGATATGCTCCTTCTTTTTTGGCATTCTTCCGAACCACTATCTCACAAAATCAAATTTCACGTAGCACTTAAGTGTTCACTTTATGCAGATAACCTTGTCATCTTGGAAAGGTCCACATCGGAAAGGGTAGCTTGTAATATCCTCCAAAGCACGTTGGACGTTGTTCACAGTACCTGTGATAATCCCCTTCACCAGGAGAAGAAAATTGAATGATCTAATGCCACTTTCCCTCAATGGTGGGATCATTCCATTTGGAACTGAGGTGAAATATTTCGACATTGTCCTTGATAAAAAACTCACCTGGAACGCACACTTGGAAAAAGTTTTACACAAAGCCAGACTGTCCATATGGACATGTCGAAGAATTTGTGGTAAAACTTGGTGATTAGGTCCCAAACAAATCTACTGGATATATGTGATGATTGTCAGACCAATAATCACTTACGGTACAATTGCCTGCTGGCCAAAGGCTTTACAGAAAATAGCCCAAGCGAAGCTCTCTGACTTACAGAGACAGGCTTGTCTGGCCATCCGTGGTGCCATCAGTACCACACCGTCAGCGGCCATGGAGATCCTTCTAAATTTACCTCCTCTCCACATATTTCTGGAGAGAGAGAGGCTGCATATGGACTTGTGCACTTTGCCAATCGCACAAATCATATTAATGCAGAGTGCAATAGACTGTTGGTCGACACTGAAAGTCACAACATTCTGGGAATGACCTCTGACTTCATGTCTTCAACTGTCAGCTACGAACTGCCTTATAAAGTAATGTTCCCGAGTAGAGAAAACTGGATCCGCCGGGAGAAGGATATATTAAAAGCAGATAGTTGGTGGTTCAAAGATGGATCGAAAATACCTGCCGGTTCTAGTGCAGGTGTTTTTAGCCGCAGACCTTAAACAGGGATAACCTGCCTAAGAACCTATACGACTGTATTCTATGCGGAAATTTACACTATTGAATCAATGAAAATATTCTCGAACAGTCAAGTGGCGTTGAAAGCTTTTGGCTCCTATCGAGCAACTTCTAAATTGGTAGCAAATTGCCAAAAACGACACTCCTCGATAGGAAGATTCAACAGACTGTCTCTGGTCAAGAATCTTGGCCATACTGGCCTGGAAGGCAATGAGGCTGCTGACTCCCTTACAAAGGAGGGTGCTGCAAACAGATTCATCGGATCAGAACCTGTCATTGACATCGCTTCAGGCTTTGCCAAACAAACATGAAACCCCTGGATGGCAAGAAGATTTATGTACTTCTGGCAGAATCTTCCAGAATTGGCTCTCTCCAAAGCGTTCATTCACCCTTCGAAGCTTGATACCGAACAGTTGCTGGACTATAGTAGGAATGAACTACGATGTCTAACAGGCATTCTCACTTCTCAGGTCACTGTCATTTGAGTCATCATATGCAGAGACTTGGAATGTCGGAAGACATTCCAAGACACATTAGACGCGACGCGTAAAGGCTTACTGTGTTGCGTCAAGTTAATCTTATCGTGATAACTTTCAGATGATTCTTCCAAATTACTTATTATAACAGACAAAGTTTATCTATATTGAATACAAAAAACGTATTTTTAAACGAATCTGACTGATATTCTAAAATGTGCATTGTAAAAAATGTATATATTCATATATCATTCACTTACGTCACTACCGTTATGTATTACTAAATATTCGAAGTATAAAAATCATGTGTATATTACCCATAACATTCTAAAATGAATCATCATAATATGTTAGCCGATTTATAAGGAATCAAAATAGTTGCTCTTTTTGGCCTTTGAAGAAACAAACCATTCTCTTTCTAACGCTTTGGAGGCGAAGTAACACTGATGCTGGAGGCTCAAACCAGATAATATGTATTGGTTCTATACTATAGTTGTTGGAAAAATGATAATAAATGCATTTAAAGTCTGATGGTCAAAAATGAAACAAAACGACCGCTGTCAACATTGGAGACACCCTTGAATCTTTCTCTTTCACATTTTGAAACGATGGGAAAAGTGAGGGTGGTCAATTCAAATCTAATGAGTTACATGGGATTGAACAAAATAGAAATTCCGCCGAAATATATATTCGAAACAAACTTTGCGAAGAGTAGAAAATGAGCAGTTATTCTGAGAATATGGTTGACAGAAACACCTGGACGTGTCAACATGAAACACGTTATCGACATATGTCGAATACCAACAGAAGCTGGAAATTACTGTGTGATGATGAATCTTAATTTCGATTACCCACTTAGTCAGTACAAATAGATATTCTAGGAGGGTATGCGATCTTGCAATGTATAACGAACATCAATTTGGGGCCTCAATGAAATAAGCGTTTCAAAAACTTCACTGATAGTCAGACTGCTCTCGGGTCACTGACAAATCCAAACGTATGAGGATGCATTGAAAACTGACGAACACGAATGTATTGACTATATACTGAGTGCCAGGACATTCAGCAAGAATTGCAGGCAATGAAAAAGCTGATGAATATGCCAAACACAGATCATTAACTCATATATAGGCCATAAATCGGCTGTGAGGGTACCAAAGTCTTTGTTATGGAACCTGATTGGAACGTTGATCCAGAAGAAACATTGGTATACTGGGAAAACATACACGGGATCGCACATGTGAAAACCTTCATATAGGGACCGTCCAAGAAAATGATTCGACAGAGCGGAAATCTGCCCCGAACAATTACAGGATAACTCACTGGACACTTTTCACTGAAAGAACACTTGGACGAAATATGACTGTACAACAGAGACCTCAATTGAAAGCAATACAACGAAAGGACAAAGATAACTCGTCATATTTTATACGATCATAGGCACTGGATCATAGGAGGCAAACGATTTATGATCATCCCAAACTATACCTAGAAAAATATGACATGCATTCAGCAAGGGACCTGTATAAACTAATGAAGGGCACAAAAGAATATGTGTCATAATGGGAGCAGAAAAAATTATCTANATGTTGCTCATTTTGTTACAAAGAAGCACCATAATGCAAAATTCAACGTAACCAACATAGAAATTGTGCATATAATTTACCAATAGAAATTTGTAAAATTAGAATAAATAAGCAGTTTTTCTGAAGTATTTCGCAGTAAACAGAATCAATGATTGTAAAGGAGGAGACATCGTTATCATAGTTTTCATTCAATGTGATCCATGATACGACTAGTTCCAACACATTTTTCTACCCATGTCGAATTATTTTCACTTCTATGTTCCGAAGCGAATCCATTCATAGAACAAGCAGTTTTTTGGCCCACATATTCTATAGAATATCGAACTGATAAGTGAGGTCCACCATTTCTGAAAATATAATGATTTCGTTTTTACAAACACTCATAATCAATTTGGTTGTATTCCTTCCGGGACATTCTGTATGGAGAATCAATGATACGATTTCAATCCTTCGAACAATTACCTAAAAAATTACATGGAAAGTTTTTTCCACTTTACACTATTACAATTATTCTGATTTATTACTTTTCCTGCCTCTGATGTTATTTGTTCTCAGTCAGTAGCTCTACAGTTAACATTTATTGTTAGGTATGTATACGCATATTATTTCTGATGTTGAATTCACTCATTTGGTGTTGGATATAAAATCATTTTCCATTATATATTTTCAGAAAAAGAAAACATTTGTGAGCTTACTAAAAGAAACTAGTTCGATTGAACTCGATAGGTACTTTATTTTTCATATGTAATGGAATCGACTTACACTTGATTAAAATTCATAACTCAATCAAGAAACACAAACAACAAATTATTTTTGAATACTTCATTTTTCACAATGTTCGTTATTTTCTGGTATACGGTACAGTTATTTACTGGATTTAACTATTTTCACAAATTCAATATTCACTAGGTTTTTAATTCTCAGCATTGAGGTACTAAAAATATACTGATAGTGTATCGCACCTTGAATTCTGGAACTTAATGGAAAATAAATTCCATATTATCGTTTGGCGGAACATTTTCAATATTCAATGTTTAAAGTCTGTTTCATATGTTATGAGAGTGGTCTTGGGCTCTCGCTCCTTTACCAGGCTTTGTACGAAATTCATCTCATGTAAAATGTGAAAGTTCAAATCGACCTTCTTTGGGTATTTCCATCTTCCACAATCTGAAAAATATAAAAGTTTGTAATGAAGAACTTGCACACGTAGAAATGGCAAACTTTTCAGTTCACCTCGATTAATTACTTCGTGTATTCAAAGTATTTTCCAGGAAAAACTAATATTCTCTTCATCAGTAATTTGCTGTTTTCAATAATTTTTTCATCAAAGTGAAAGCAAAGAAATTATATAGACACTTGTCTTAACTTTTCGGAAGCTAAAATCCGCCAGCGTATTCAGAATTGGAAAAATTAAAGATATTTTTTTGCTGATTTGCTTGTTCCCGAATTTTCTCGACATATGTCGAGAGAGTTTTGAAATTTGAAATATGTCAATGTTGTTGGTTAGTTTTTTGTAATTGTGTCGCTATTCAATTTTCCTTCCAGGCGGGTAGCCAAGTACGATTCATTTTTAAGGAGCTGTTCGAAATACATCTCGCTCCAGATAGAAGAATATACACTGATTCTTTATGTTCACATAAAATGTACCAGTGACTTACTTATCATGTAATATGAAATTGCAATGTTATTTTATTCTTCTTCAATCACCTCTTTCTGAAAACCCTGGGATATCCCTTTCTATGAGATATGTGTTTTTTTCAGCATTTATTTCTTGATGTAACTGTGGTACGGTATTCGTATTTGCTTTGGGAAAGACCCCAAATAAAGCAAGCAGTTTACTATTGATCCTTGGGGCTGATGGTAGCCTCTCCAAAATGATTGAGTGACTGTTCTGATCATCTTTGTGAGCTGTAGACTGTTGATTGATGAGTAAGTGTTATTGTCACGTGACAACAGTCAATTGATTATGAGTAAAACACATGTCCACTCAGTTCATATTAATTAAAAACATGTCTTGCTCATTCATCACAATGCTGTGTAAGTGAACATACGTTCACTCGATTTACCATTGTGAGTCACGCGACCATAAATCTCAACTATGAACTTTCCATCTATTTTCCAGCAGTACGCACGATTGTTGAACACTTCAGATTATTCAAGGTATTTGGAACTTTATTTCGCATGTAATTCTCCACTTGAACTTTCCGATATCAATTCATTCATCGGTTTGTCCATTTTCCTTTGAAATTTTCCCAGTCTCCGTTTCTTTTCCCTGTCTTTTTTATGACTGCTATGCTCCTTCTTTTTTGGCATTCTTCCGAACCACTATCTCACAAAATCAAATTGACGTAGCACTTAAGTGTTCACCTTATGCAGATAACCTTGTCATCTTGGAAAGGTCCACATCGAAAAGGGTAGCTTGTAATATCCTCCAAAGCACGTTGGACGTTGTTCACAGTACCTAAGGGAGCAGATGTCTGTCTATCCCGGCAAAACTGTGATAATCCCCTTCACCAGGAGAAGAAAATTGAATGATCTAATGCCACTTTCCCTCAATGGTGAGATCATTCCATTTGGAACTGAGGTGAAATATCTTGACATTGTCCTTGATAAAAAACTCACCTGGAACGCACACTTGGAAAAAGTTTTACACAAAGCCAGACTGTCCATATGGACATGTCGAAGGATTTGTGGTGAAACTTGGGAATTAGGTCCCAAACAAATCCACTGGATATATGTGATGATTGTCAGACCAATAATCACAATTTCCTGCTGGCCAAAGGCTTTACAGAAAATAGCCCAAGCGAAGCTCTCTGGCTTACAGAGACAGGCTTGTCTGGCCATTCGTGGTGCCATCAGTACCACACCGTCAGCGGACATGGAGATCCTTCTAAATTTACCTCCTCTCCACATATTTCTGAAGAGAGAGAGGCTGCATATGGACTTGTGCACTTTGCCAATCGCACAAATCATATTAATGCAGAGTGCAACAGACTGTTGGTCGACACTGAAAGTCACAACATTCTGGGAATGACCTCTGACTTCATGCCTTCAACTGTCAGCTACGAACTGCCTTATAAAGTAATGTTCCCGAGTAGAGAAGACTGGATCCTCCGGGAGAAGGATATATTAAAAGCAGATAGTTGGTGGTTCAAAGATGGATCGAAAATACCTTCCGGTTCTACGACTGTATTCTATGCGGAAATTTACACTATTGAATCAATAAAAATATTTTCGAACAGTCGAGTGGCGTTGAAAGCTCTTGGCTCCTATCGAGCAACTTCTAAATTGGTAGCAAATTGCCAAAAACGACACTCCTCGATAGGAAGATTCAACAGACTGTCTCTGGTCCAGAATCTTGGCCATACTGGCCTGGAAGGCAATGAGGCTGCTGACTCCCTTACAAAGGAGGGTGCTGCAAGCAGATTCATCGGATCAGAACCTGTCATTGACATCGCTTCAGGCTTTGCCAAACAAACATAAAACACCTGGATGGCAAGAAGATTTATGTACTTCTGGCAGAATCTTCCAGAATTGGCTCATTCCAAGGCGTTCATTCACCCTTCGAAGCTTGATACCGAACAGTTGCTGGACTATAGTAGGAATGAACTACGATGTCTAACAGGCCTTCTCACTTCTCAGGTCACTGTCATTTGAGTCATCATATGCAGAGACTTGGAATGTCGGAAGACAGATTGTGTTGCCTCTGTTTGGAAAATGATGGAACAGCAGAGCACATACTTCATGCTCACCCCGCTGGGAACCGAATCAGGTTTTTAGAGTTCGGCAGAGCCACCTTATATTTTTTCCTGGCTACTGTGATTTGAATAAATTAATTTTGAAGTTCAGCATGATCCTGATATGATGATTATATTTATCAGTTGCTATTTGTGTGAGAACTGTTTTCAGTGTTTTTTTTTTGGCCGTGGTCTGCAGGTTTGTATGCCTGACGTTTCGACTTCTACTGCGGTAGATATTATCAAAGGCGATGTGATAATGGTCGCAGTGCCCGAGTTGGTGCTAAAGTTGTTGTTCCCGTTGTTCCGATCGCTGTAACTACGAAGCTGGTATTAAACCCTGATTTTACATTATTATAAGTGTGCTTGGATTGATTTCTCCTAATTGGATTGCCTCATCTTGTTTGTATTTCTATTGTCTCTCTAAATTCTCTTGGATAGTAATTTTGGGTTTTATCGAGTACTAGTTGTTGCCCGCAGCTTCGCCCGCGTAGAATTTGGTTTATCACATTGAGTTTCATGACAGACCATGTTGAACAAATTGTTACAATATTTCTTCATCAACCCACCCCCCTTAGAGGTGGAAATTCCTGATTTCCTTTCACGATGCTTATTTACGCAATAGAAAGAACCTACCTGCATATTTCAAGATTCTAGGTTCAGTAGATTCGGTTGTACGTTAATATAAGAGCGGGCAACAGCTAGTACCTTATTTTCACTTCAAAAAAACAGTAATTGAAAAAATATGCCAAATGCACTAATTAATGAATAGCTGCGAGGATCTAATTATGTTACCTATAAAGAAATTCGCAAAAATAGCACAACTGTCAACGACGTCTGCCCTCACGCGTCTGTCCGCCTTCGGGTCGCGTTCTCGGTGACGGCGCTTTATTACTTAAACCTCCCCCCTACCCCCGCGCATCGTCCTTCCACGTTTCACATTAGACGCGACGCGTAAAGGCTCACTGTGTTGCGTCAAGTTAATCTTATCGTGATAACTTTCAGATGATTCTTCCAAATTACTTATTATAACAGACAAAGTTTATCTATATTGAATACAAAAAACGTATTTTTAAACGAATCTGACTGATATTCTAAAATGTGCATTGTAAAAAATGTATTCTATTCAACTGTATGTCTGACTCAGAATATTGCATATAGTTGCTACCACATAAGAGGTAGGTAGATATATGCTATCGCAGACTTTCATTTAGAACTATTCTAGATGAACAATTTTACGATACATCAACGGTACAGGCAGCGCACGCCAAGATAGTTCTCAGGAGGCTAGAATTTTTCTGACTTACTTAATACTTATCGTTACATTATGACCACAAATACACAAAACCTTCGTAAATTGTAGCATATATGTTATTCTGATGTATAAGCTGTATTTATGTTAAGTTTCATTTAAATCCGTTCATTCGTTCAAGCGTAAAAGAGACACAAACCACCGTATAGAAGTAAACACAAGTCGTAAGTTCATTCTTCGCCATATTTGGGTCGAAATTCCTCACCTCGAATTTTATGCGTAGCTGATCTACAGCGACGCCGACTGAATCTGAGGCGTTTACCAAGCGAGCCAAGTTGAGGCATGGAATATTATTACAGAGTGAGTCGTTGTACGTGGTGGTTTTGTATTTGTGAAAAATTTGTGTCTAGTTCCAAAATAAACAAGTGGCGAGCTGTGGGTTGCTGTAATTTGCAGGGTGATATGGGCAATAATTTTTTTTTACAGTTGTTGAAAAAAGATATGTTTATCTATTATTCATTATGTGAGATTGAAGTAATGAACATATAATGAAAATAAATTGTTATAGACCATATTGATAATACGCAGACTTTTTTAATGAAATTAATTTGATGAAATTGAACTTCACGAATGGTATATGCCTGCAGTTACACTGGAAATCCACAAAGGAATTTTGTGGATTTCCAGTGGATATTGTTGAACCACATGAAGTTTTTGATAGGTAACTGTAGAAAAACAATTTATTTCACTGAATTCTCTGCAAAACGAGAGCATCAAATGTATATTAGAATAACTTCTTTTGGAGCCTACTTTTCATTCATATGTTTCAGATAATCTACTAAAAAAAAGCAAATATGTCTAATCTTAGATTCTGTCATCAATAACAAAAAACATTAGAATTTCATTCGATTGACAGACTTCATAATTAGCAAACTAGGTAACCCAAAACTAAAAAATCTGTATTTTATTACGAAGTTTCGATTTACAACAACCAACCCAATAATTTAAAAAAATATTTCAGAAAAACGATTCNCCGCAATTTCTCTGTTACCACTGCATTATCCATCAGCAAGCATTATGTGGAAATTTCCTGAAACTAAACAACGTTATGAAACTGGTGGTAAAAATTGTGAACAAGATTAGAGCTCAAGCGTTACAAAGAAGATTATTCAGAACCTTGGCCGATGAAGTTGACTGTCAATACGGGGACCTACTCCTTCACTCTGAAGTCCGATGGTTAAGTAGAGGACGGGTGCTGAAACGTTTTAATGATGTCCTATCTGGCATAGTTCAATTTTTCAAACAACGCGATGAACCGACTTCGGAACTAGAAAATTCAATCTGGACATTACAGAGAAATTGAACGAACTTGATTTGCAGCTTCAGGGGAGAGACAAAGAACTAGCGGAAATGATTTCTGATATAAAAGCATTTATCAAAAAGCTGGAGTTCTGGGAACAAAACCTGATTAACAGCGATGCCAAGCATTTTCCTATTCTTTCAGAAAAAATATCTCAAAATCCATTAGAACCCTATGACTATAAATATCATGTATTTGTGTGAATCTTCTTTTTCCAATATGAAGTTTATCAACAAATATCGCAATCGACTTACAGATGAACATTTGGATAATTGTATTCGAATGGCGGCATCAAATTATACTGCAAACATTAAAAAAATTATCGATGAGTCTGAGTGTCAGCCTTCTCATTGAACGTGCTTTTTTATTTTCCAATGTTCATGTTCATGATAGTGCGTTACTTTTCTATTGTTATTATTAACTATTTTTGAATTATACGTGACATACTGTTGTGGCTGAATAAAAGTTTGTGCTTATTTTTCAAACACCTTCGTTTGATAGGTAGGAATGTAGCTATGAACAAGTACATACTAGTAATATTAGTTATTTTGTTATTAGTTCATTATTAGTACCTATGTATTATGTATTACCAGTTGAATAGTAAAATAAATACATATAATGATAAATTAACTGTGGATTATTTCATTTACGTTGCGTTACGTGGCTTCCATGTGGGTAGCTCGCTGTTTATTCCAAAATCAACAACACATTGAAGAGGTTGGCGACCACTGGTCTAGAAGATATTTGTGAGATTCTATCTAGTATCACAGATGCTGACATGATTAGAATGAAGACTGTTGTGGAAGTTCCAAAAAATTCCTATAAACCTTTGAGAATATTTCTGGAGTTTTTGCCCAACACCAAATCGTTATTTTTAACACTTCGACACGTGTTTCGATCACCAAGTGATCATCTTCAAGAGGAAAATTAAACAGTTTATTCTTTCTCCTCAATAAATATGATCACTTGGTGATCGAAACACGTGTTAAGGTGTTAAAAATAACAATTTTGTGTTGGATAAAAACTCCATTAATATTCATTACTACACCAGTGCATCACAAACCTAGCCACTCCAGAAGGCAACAGCTTGCGCTGTTTGTGGATATCTTTTGATAAAATGTTTAAGAAAACATTCATGTGAATAATGTACAAATTTTGCTACGGCGGATAGTACCACACTGAATTACACAAATGTATATAGTTATTTCAAGTCATATAGTACCTAATACAGAATACAAACAGTTTGGCAGTTTATATATGATTCCAGATTTATTTCTACAAAGTATCATTCATCTAGAGACAGAATTTCTCAATCATTGCATAGGCAACCATCTCAAAACAATGTTTTCAGAAATCAACATTTCTCATCCTTGTGATAATTTCGTTTTAGATTATATATTTTCTCCTTTCACAAGGGTGACAATTGATTATACTTCAAAATTTGCCGATAGAAATTTGAAAACAAATTATTAAAAAAAATCAAAAACTCAACATTCTGAAAAATCTTCAGAATATACCTAAATTGTATAATGATATTATATGACATATACGTTTGTTTCACCACCTTGTCTTATTTTTCATCAATTCTCAAACAGGTTACGATCATATGAGACATTTATTGGGAGCTCCTCATAGCAATGATTAAATCAGATCATGGTCACATATATTTCAATCAAACCTCATGCAGAGGTGCACGATAGGTCTTTGCCGACACCCTCCTGCCCCTCACACGCCAGCAAAAAATAAAATCCGGACCCGATACATCAAAGACGCCGACCGGGAGTGAATTTACTAGTGTTCACTTCTATACGGTGCACAAACATACATACACACATACATGCATCCTCTAAAACTTTCACATTTATAATATTAGTATAAAAGATATATTGCAGAATATTTTTAGATTAGATGAACAGTTCTCATTTTGCATTCTATTGATATTTCCAGAATGGCAGAGACTATTTTGGCTATTTTTGCCGTGGCGATCATCGCGATGGCTACATTTTATTATTATTTCGTTCGACCTATGTATTACTGGAGAAAGAGGGGAGTTCCACAAGAAACTCCGAAATGGATGTTCGGAGATAATTTCCGCAATGTAATGGGATTAGAAAGTATACCAATCATCATGGATAATATTTATAAAAAGGTCAATGCAAGGTGAGATATTTCAGAATCGTTTGCAATTATCTTCCATCTTTATGAATACCTTTTCTATGAGATATTTTGAGAAAATAAAATGTTTGTGTTTTCCATGAACTATTCCATATTTAGATTTACGTCATCCTCAATATATTCGTGATCGGAAGGCTTCTATTCAGGTTAACTTAGTCTCCCATTGTTTTTTAAAAATTCGACCCTCCAGAAGCAGTATCAAATTATTATTTCATCAGCAAACACGTGGCGGCAGCGTTCTGTGATATGACTAAAGCTCTTGACTGTGTCAATCACACATTATTACTTTAGAAACTCTCTCACTATGGTATAAGAGACATGACCCTGAAGTGGATGGAATCATACAGGACGAAACCAACTAGTTGAACCTGACCATACATCCGGATTACCATTAATTTCTGATGAGTATTCCCAAATGGTAATATTTATATTGAGCTTAGAATACACTAGACCATAGTATATATCGAAGAGATTATGTCTCAAAAAATTTGATTTCATTGTTAGGAAGGCAAAATACATTTTTTTCAGAGAAGTACACAAGTATCCGATGTGATTATTGGAAGACAATTTATTGTCAAGTTGTGTTCCAAGGAATTTTGTATATTCTGTTGTTTCAAAACCTAGATTTATTTGGAGAGGGTGCTGATACTTGAAAACTGGATAAATGTTGTTTTATCTGCATTATTCATTAAATGATTGTTTCTTCATTACATTTGAATTCATTGATAACTAGTTCTGTTTAATTTTCAATTTCATTTAGACCTGGGGACGTCACAATGATTGTTGTGTCATCGGCATACATGAAAACTCGACCCTCGAAAAAAACCTTCCATTCAGTTTCAAGGTTAAACTAAACACCATCAGATCTGGCCAATGTGTGGGGAAAAAGCGACCAAAGTGAGGTGATACAGACTTTTCATTTGAAGTTACGTCAATATCATCTACTATGTTGCTTCAAATTCTAATGTAATTATATTTCAATAAAAATATAGTGTAGCATTTTGAATCATCATTAAATATCTTGTAGTTCATGTTAGACATGCATATGCGTGAGAAATGTCAGTACGTTCTCCTGTAAAATGTTATGTGTTGAGTCTACGCATCTGTTTTGGGTACCTCACACACATCCATCTAGCATGACGTCGACAGATAATAACTTTGAATTTATTTCAAAGTCAAACCAAACTTGACGGCTAAATGTGGTAATGACAGGTGAATGAATGTATTTTCGATCAAAGTGATGACACTACTTTTCAGTTATATTTACAACTTAAGTTGATAATTTTCAGGTTATAACTTCACGAGATTTCACAATATTGCTTATCAAAGGCACGTTATTTAATCTTCACACTACTTCAATACCTGTCTTAAATCGATTACATCTCGGCTCCCGGCCGTTCACACACACAGACCCTACTTTTTAATATGGAACAGGTAGTTTGGAAAATTATTCAACCCACGCGAGGGTGGCAATGACTGAATTTCATCTTTAATGCTAGATAGTATTGGGTCGAGCGCGCAGAGTTATTTTATTTTTATTTTCAATACAGTCGATCGTGCGACATCTGAATGGTGTATGAAATCTTGTGAATTTTGGAAAACCTGGCAACACTATCTAATGGAGATTCCCATGTTGGGACAAAAATTTGCAAAACGGAGCTTGGCTTTTTTCTCCAAATTCACATGGTATTTCCCATGAGGCGGTTTTGCCGTTTGCCCCATAATCTCTTAGCTACTCTACTGTCTCATTTACAAGAATAAATCTTTATATGAAAATAACAATCGCACTGTGCGGAATGCAATGGATTCATCATAAGGTAATCATCCCTGAATTCCCATTGATCAAAGAATCAATAATTTACGTCGGTGTCAAAATGTATAATAAACTTCCTGAAGATATAAACAACATAAATGAAAGACGAGCATCTAAAGTCTAATACAATCTGACAGAATATTTTAATAACGCAACGATATAAAATTGACGGTGCTTATATGTGTACTTTTACCTAGATGTGATTATTAACGTGTATTATTTTCATGTAATTATGTAATTGTATATTTATCTGGATGTAGTTATTTACTTTTTACCAGTGTTTTTCATTAGGGTCATGTATCTTGGATAATAAACACATAACCTCTCTCTATCTTTCTCTCTCTCTCTCTCACTCAAGATTTGGAAACAGCTTTGGTTCAGTTAATTTCATATTTTTCACCTCTTAGTACTTTGATGAGTGAGCAATATCATACGGAAGAGACTTTATTCGATGACCCAATAATAATACCACTGACATATAATATTGTTTCATAATTATTACCCTGAAATTTTTGAAATTTCATGAGAGTCATTGAAGGTCATCAACATTGTTGAAATAACCGGCTAGTCGAAAAAAAAGGACCATTTCATCATTCCACAAATGCTACTTTGAGCACAAAACCTACTTCAGAGTATTCTAGAGAAAGGGATTTCAAATAGAGAGATCCCAGGAAATGCGACGTGGACTCCAATGGTTTTACAAGTATTCCAGAATCACTTCAGAAGCAGATACCTACCACTACAGATGACCACAGGAACTTCTTCAAGCCACAAATAACTGTAAAACATTTTCGAAAACGGATCTTCATGGAGCTATTATAAATGCCGATTTCTATTGAAAAAGGAATATTTCAAAGAAGAGATTTGTGCAGCTATAGACCCTGCACTGGTTTATACGATAGGCTCCCCAAAACGTTTCAACAAAGTTGAGAGCTGTAGCTTTCTTAAAAGAATCGTTATTATAGAACAAGCTCCAAAAATACAGGGTGTCAGTAATCCCTTTCATTTCTAGACCTCATTTCAATCACTTTCAGAGCTGAAAGTTCGCCAATGGAGAATAGCTCATTGATGATTCCAATAAGTTTTGCGAATACGATATACGAATGAATTCCGTTGATTTCGGAAGCAATATTCACACACCAATTTTTTGGCAATAGGAAACATCTCATCGTTATTTCATCTTTAAAAACTCAGCTGCCTAATTCGGACAAAACACGAATGAATCGTTGCCACTATCGACAACCTATCTTCTCAATCTGGATTACCAATAGTCTACTGTTTGCAAAGAGTAGTTGTATACTAGGTGTACCAAGTTACCTATTTTCTTGGTACTCTCTGTCTCATCGATGTCCATAGCTTGAAATGAATATACTTTTGTCTTGAGTTGTTATGAATATTAGAGAAATTTCTGTAACTCTGTGTCCGCGTCTCTTCTGCAAAACCATTTTTTTATTCTGTCACTGAATGCCCGTAGGAATTGTTCAGAATCAACTTCTGATCACAAACAACCTTTCATCTATTGTTCATTTCGTTCATGTTTCATATATCAGGTCCATCGAAATTCAGTCGTCCAATAGTTGTGATGCTAATCAACTCCTTGCAATATACATTTTTGCATCTCATTGTGTTCTGTGACTCTCTTCCTCGATAGATATCAAGGAATTATTTTCAACATCTTCATTTTTCTACAATTTTCATAGAACCGATCCAATGGGTTTGGCATCAAAGTTCAGCCAAATCTAAATCGGAAATGTTATCTACATATTTTCTCAAAAAGTATTTCTCAAGCCCCTTCATTTTTCTGATGACAATGACTTGTACCATTTTTCTGTTGTTTCCCTTCAGGAACAGCGGATTCTTCAATCATCCATTTCATATCTGTTTGGATGTTTTCCAGAATACAGTGAAACTAATGATGCAGAACTCCTGTATGTATGTGATCTACAACGTATGGGATCTACAATGACATTGTCGGGATTTGAAGGCTTTGAAATTTAACTTTGTGATGTTTTTTGAAGCAGCAGTATTCTGTTTGAAAAACGGTGAGAGGGTGGAAATGGTGATGATGGTTTTTTGTCTACTATTTCGCACTATTCTTCCTATAGTACTTATCGATGAATGCATTAATTTTATCCCAAATTTATCTGACTTGATTTCGAACCTTATATTTTTTCTTGTATTGGCTCCTCCATTCATCACTTTCTGAAAAGTTGATTGGCTTCGACTAATCGTCCTGGAAACATAATTTTCAACGTTCCCTAGATATTGGTAAGCATTGTTTATTATATTTTAGATCTTCGTTCTTTATGATTTCTTAATTTTTTCAATCTTTCTTTCTCTAGTCCTGTTACTTAGGTTTTCCATTGTTTTTCTCTTTCCTCCCATTCGAAATGGTGCATCGGCTCAAAATTTCAATTGACCAGGGAAACTTCAGGAAACTTTTGTGTTTTGAAGGAATAGGCCGATACTTGATGAAAATAACTGAAATAACACTTTATTGTTAGATTTTCACTAGACAGTTTACAAAACCGCAAAAAACCGCAACATATGTTTCACTCTTCAATAGCTTTATCATGCTATTATATGGTTTTTGTTGCGATTGTTTGCGATTTCGTAATTTGTCTAGTCGAAATCTCGGAATGAAATGTTATTTATATGAATGGTGTGTACGTTTGTGCTCTACGGAACTCTACGGAACATTTTTTTGTAAATCATGTTGAAAAAATTAAAAGTGCAGGTAACCACAGAGTTTTCAAAGAATTATATGTGATTTAAAAACACATGTATGTCTTGTTTCGAGTATTTTCCTAAACATCCAATCCCAATTTGTTTCATTCTAACGAATATATTTTCAGATATCACGGATTCTACCAGTTCACCAGACCAACGCTTTTGATTAAAGATCCGGAACTACTGAAACAAGTGATGGTTAAATATTTTGACCACTTCACGGATCGCAGGAAGTTTCTGTCAGAAGAAGTTGATCCACTATGGGGAAGAAATATGGTTGAACTCACAGGTAATTTATTCTATATTAAAATGCTTCAATATTCGCTTCTATTTTTTGCATATAGCATTGTTAAATTAAATACGTGATAATTCTTCAATATCCACCAAAACTGACCTGAACTTTATCGCCAACGAGTTCTATTCTGTTACTAGAAATCACCACTTCATGAAATAAAAATGTATATCTTACATTCCAAAATCGGATCTTCTGCAATGTGCTTCGAAAATTGATTTGTTTTCCAAATATTTCTAAATTATCTGTTGAAACTTCACTGTTGAGATTTAACGACCGGGGTCTTGTTTCATTATATGTAGTGGAATATAATCTACTATAAGATTGAAAGTTCACACGTAGGTCTTCCCCTTTTCCGTTTTCTGAAGAGCAATAATTTTGTTAATATCGTAAGTCAGTCAGGGGGTTACTGGCTTGCAGCCAACAATAGCTTCCATCAGCCTCCAGATGAGAAGCTTTGAAATTCAGCCTATTTGAAATAGAAGGCTCTAACTATGGTGGTTACTATAGATATATTGATACAATGATTTCCATTCCAGGGGATAAATGGAGAAATTTGAGAGCCGCCACTACTCCAATATTCACCAGTGGTAGAATGAAGATATTATTTCAAACAATATTGAACGTAACAGAAACATTTGTTGAGTTTTTCTCAAAAAAAGATGAAGCAGTAATCGAGCTCGATATCAAGGAAACCATGAACCACTATTGTAGCGATATAATTGCATCTATTGCTTTTGGAGTAACTGTAGATTCAATGAGGAATCCAGATGATGAATTCTACCTGATGTCAAAAGAGGCTACAAATATCCATTCAACCCGGGCTAAAATTGCCTTCTTTTCATCTTTACTGCTTCCTGACTATGTCATGAAGGTAATTGAACATTTTTTTAAGGTTTATTTCAGATACCTTGTTATCTAAGAAAACAAAAGAAAATATTTTCACTTCGATTTTGAATCAGTTTGATAATCTTTGTTTACTCTGAAACGGTTTTTTCATATAACTTATCTATAAACTATCTATAAACTTACAATTTTCAAAAAGTCATATTCAGTTGGGAGTATTTTGATTGTGTTTTACAAAATAATTTTGAACTGATATATATCAGTGATGAAGATGAAAACATACATTTCAGTCTTATCATAGACTTGCAAATAATATTCGAGTATGATATGAGTACTTTGTGTATTATTATATTTGATGAAATGAGGAGCGGTAATGATCTCAACACCAAAAGTCCTTCCAGATATTTGATATGAGGAAAAAATTAACAGAACGAAACAGAACTGAACGAAAAATAAAATGAAGGAATAATTTTCCAAACACTCAAAGGAAAATGAACATACTAGTTTCATTATATGAATACTACCTACCTACCTCAATCTAGCAAGTTCCAAGTTTGATCTTCCTCTTGACAATGATCACTTGGTGATCAAAACACGTGTCGAAGTGTTGAAATAACGGTTTGGTGTTGGAAAAAACTCCAGTAATATTAAATACTACAACAAAGAGTCCAAACAGTTCATCACAAGTCTCATGGGTTTGGATGAAAAAACGGAAGACTTGATGTTATCGCCATTCTAGTCTTTTTTCCACAATAACTTTCCATAAACACATGAGCACCAATATCGAACTCTCTTTCTCTCTCTCTTTCTCTCTCTTGAAAGTCTAAGGAGAGAAATTGATACTGCAAGTTCAGAACTAATAATGGGTGACGGAAACTAATCTATCTGTTATCTGCTCAGGATTTAACATTCTTCAGGATATTGATGATTTTTGTTTTGCCATATTTGCTAATGTTACGGAGTATATGCTTTGCTTTGCTTCGATCATCGTATGTGTGTGTATGTGTGTGTTGTTATGAAATGTCTAACCATTTCAAAATTGTCGCGTCAATAAAAAAAATAAGGTGCATCCAGCTTTTCAGTGTATTTGTGAAATACTTTCAGATGGATATGCTTCATTTTCACCAATATTATATATCAATTATCATGTTGCTTCAAAAGTTTTGTCCGGTTTGATGTCATGTCATGGTTTATGCTGATCGATAGAGAATTCCGTACCCTATACATTAATGCTGTTTATTTTCTCCAAATTTCAAATTTTCGCCTCCTTCAAGCTCATTACAATATGATGTCGTTGAGATATTTTTGGCCAATTATTTCCTACAAATCCAAAGCGCTGCCGAAACAGACCTGAAAATCAACCAGGCATTTCACAATAATAGTATCAATGAACGCACTCTTCGTCGTTGGTTTGCGAATTCCAATCCAGAAATTTCAGCTTCAAAGATAAGTCTCTCTTTGACTTCTTCCATTAAAATAATTGGCAAGCAAGGTGATAGCTGAAGTTGACAGACGAACGTAATGTGAAATTGATATCCATAAATCGTGGTTTATAGTGGTAAAGGCTCTGCTGAAGTCAAGAAGTACTGAAGCTGTACAATGTTCTCTATCTGAAGCTCTGACAATATCATATTCAACATGCAGCAATGCTGTAGTGCAACTGAATCCCTTCCGAAACCCAGACTGAATCGATGGTAAAATGTTGAATTCTGGTAATGGTTCATAAGTCTTTAAATTCAGTGGGAATATTTTTTTTGGGTAACACTTTCACAACAGCACTGCCTCACATCTCAGGAAAAACATTTTCAGTTAGGCAAAAGTTTGATATGCGAGTAATGTACTCAACAATATGCGGACAACATAGTTTTATAAGCACCAGTTGCATTTGTTTTGATATCACTTATTGTTTGAAAAACAAAAAGATCAATCACTTATTCAAAACAGAATTTTGAGGTAGTTGAACAGTTAGTTTTATAATATTCAAGTAAGTTTGGTGGAGGTTCCATTATTGGTATATAATTAACAAAAAAATCATTGATCTCATCAACACTTTTCAGATAATCTGGAATACTTTTGTCCTTACGTAAAATTATTTTATTTTTTCGACTCATTTTGTTGAAAGTGGAAAGTAAAATATACCTTCTTTTCCCTTTCTATTGCTATATTTACATGATTTCGCACATCTTTGTAAAATCTAAAACTAGCCTCCGACTTTCTCTTTCTATATTTCAGCAAAGCCTCATCTCTTGTTTTCATCATATCTCTTATTGTGTCCGTCAACCATGGTGCCCTTGGTTTGGTTACTCTTGCACTCACTATGGGAGCATACCTATCAAATAGATTATTCAAACCGTTGACAAGAAATGACACCTTCTCATCAACACTACTTTGGTCAAGAATACGAAATACGGAAATTTGAAACAAATCCCGCTGAAAATCATTTTCGTTAAAATATTTAAAGCTACGATATTTAACAAATTTTGAGATTTTCATCGGAAAAATAATCAGCAATCACTTGCTATTGTTGTTGACTAAAAATATAGATCAGTATATTTCATGAAAGTATAGAACCGCAAAAATGTTCACGAAATTCATCCGAAAATGAATATGATTATTTATGATGTTCATCGTCACTTACATCTTCAATGGACTCAACTCGTATTTTACTAATTATTTTTTTTTCAGTTTTTAGGGATTAAAATGTTCAGCACCAGAGTTTCAAAATTTTTCACTGAGGTACTGAATGAATCTATAAAAATGAGGAGAGAAGGTAAAACAGCGCGAACAGATTTGATACAAATACTCTTGGATACAAATAAGGATGGTAATTATCTATTGTTTGCTAATATTGCTGTTTGTTTATTCACTTTGAAATATTTTTTTCATTCAGTTCATTGTTCAAATTGTGATCAATTCAGATCAGTTTCAGGTTATCTATATCATAGTGACTGCAACAATAATATTTTTTACTCCCTGTTAGGCCACTAGCATATATAAACACTGATCTAGTAGTGGAATTTACTCGTTATGATTTCCTGAGGATGCTAATTTGATTAGCTAAACGCGCGTCGAGAGACCGTAATTTTGTTCTGGTGTTGAGGAAGTGTTTTCAAGATTCATTTCACTCCAGAGTTTCCAGTACCAACTATCAAGTCGAGAAATACAATATCCATTCTATATAACTGAATGTTCACAAAAATGTTTTGCTGACCACATTGAAGACATAGTTGGCAGGTAGAAAATAAACATAACTGGCTGTGTAGAAAATATGTTGTAGATTGCTTCTTGAAAAATCGGTTTTCGTTGAAAATATATAAGGTTGCCGACAAAAATCCCCTTTTCAACCAAAATTATTCGTAGTATTTTGTATTTGTACGCACACGTAGTGAATCTGTAAATGAGTCTCACAAGAAATGTTCACAACTGACCTCAACCAACCCCGATTTCTCTCTTCCATAGTATATATAAACCTTGAATGTTTGTAATGTTTGTAATGATTTGTAAAGAATGCAAAACTAATTACAATCAGACCTGATACTCATATTCCAAAACTTGGGTCTGCAGTTCAATTTTATATTTGAAAAAGTACAATTATTTTTGGAAATAATGGGCTTTCACTCCCCTGGCATGAAAAAATAAAATTCATTGAATAGAAATACAAATTTGTCCAGGAATGTTACTGTGTTCGAATGAAAAAATTCAGAATTCATTTATCCAACTTGTCATTAACCCATTAAGGCCCAGAACTATTTTTTTCCAAAATTGGTTATTCTGATAACTTTTTCAGTTCAAGGAACGTCAGAAATGACTTAGAAAAATACTTTTAAAAATGCTATCTTTTTGGTTTTTGAGTTTTGAGGTGGGTCGTTAATGACCACTTGGGACTTAGGAGTGCAATAAATGTACACTTGAGATATAAGGTGGTTTANGCTATCATTAAGAGTCCCTTTCTCCCTGGAAACAGTTAGGGGCTAACAAAATTTAAAATCAGTATTGGTTTAATTTTTCTGGAAATCACCTGGTGCTTGCCATTTGAAATCTGCAATTTTTGGCAATGTTTGTGAAAAAATGAAGTTTCCAATATTATGATTCACAGGTAAGTTTTTAGAAGTAGAGGGTTGAATTGTCTCCTGAATTACTTCTGCGGCTTCTTTGCTATCTTCTGGGGGGTCGGAATTGTCATAAAAGAACTCTGCTTCAGCATTTAGTTGTGCTGCACAAAGACGGTCCAAATCCCTACAGACTTCGTCTCCTGAATCTTCGGCACTCTCATCACCATCTTTAGGTGGTAATATCACAATTCCGTCTGGAATCACATCATCTGCCTCTAAATTCTCTATCTACTCTAAAAGCTCAGCAGCTGTGAGTGGGCGCTTGCTAAAGAAATAACCAATAAAAATATTCAAGAAGTTCTGAGGCTCAAGGGGTCGTTAACTACCCACTAAAAAAAAACACATGCAGTTTGGCAACCACGCATTCGAAGTTTGATTTCTTATAACCTTACTTGTGAGACATCTTTTATAATTGTACTAATTTACCAAAATAAGCAATGAAATACTAAAAAAGGTACTTACCAGTTCCAATATGAAGTCATTGCACGCACAAGAAAAAAATACTATTTTCAATAATTTCTCTGAAGCCAGAAAATCACAAAAACCCTGAAACAAGCGCCCGGCATGCAGAAGGTGAACAATGCTAATATGGAAATAAGTTTTGATCTTTTGTTTATGCAAAAGAAGTTAGGTTTGACAATAAAAATCTGAAGTGGGTCGTTAACGACCCCAGGGTCCTTAATGGGTTAACCCTTATTTCACACTACGAAATATCCAAAATGTTTCTAATAAATATCAAATTCATGATTTCTCGAATTTGAATTGAATTTTTTAGCGAACACATCACACTGGAGATGATTCATTTTACTAGATATGAATTTTTTCCAGTTCACCCTCCTTCATCAGAAAAGTTCATATTTGACAAAATCCATTCAATGCTATAAGAGCTGTTGTTTTGGATTCTTTCTCGTTTCATTGAACTCTGCCATCAGAAGTTTGACATTATCCAAATTTGTGCACCATTGCTTGTCGAAACCAATATTAGCCTGGTCCAAATACATCGAAAACTTCAAACACATTTTGTCTCAGTTATTGAAAACCTTAGATGATTTCGAGCTCCAACTAACAAAATGGATAGATAAATCTGTTCCCAATTTTAATTCAAAAGCAGTAGCATTTCTAGTGAAATGTTGTTATTTGCTTTTGTATTCGATGTGTATCCAGTGAATTCTGTGCTGGTTACAGATGGCCATATCACTGGTTCTATCACATGTCAATACATATTAGATTATCTAAGGCAATCCTCATAATAATCAGTTGGATAAAATATTGAAATGCCCAGCAAATTTAATGAGTCAGTTGCTCATAACTTCCTGCAGAGTTGCATTTCCCTTTTAGATTTGGCATTTAGTTGGGTTTGGTAGACATGGTTTCGATACCCTGCTAACACTTCAACATGTTACATAACCTTTCTGCTTATCCCTTTGGTTCAGCTGAATTTCGGTTGATAAGTATATCCAATAAATTCTTTGAATTTTTGTAACATTGACAGCTACTGAGTAGGGATATTCTTGTGACATTTGATCATGTCTTGTTCAGAATACTGTCTAATGAATTTTCTTCACTACTACAATTTTTGTATTTATTTCTTATATTTTAGAATGCAAGTTCTACCCCTGATTGAAGTATAGTTCCTATATGGAATGATATGCTTAGTTGAATCAAGCTTCTGCAACTCTTTCTGCCTGCTGATTCAGTATGGAAAGTATTTCAGGCCACTTAAAGAAGTAGCCTGTTCAGAATATATTCTTCTGGAACAATCCACGCACAACTAACATCTCAGTCAATTCAAGGCTAACCTCAGATTATCATTGTCTCTCGTTCAGATTCAGATATAGATTCTACTATTGTGGCTTGTTTATCATCGTGGGCTACAAAGTCTTATTCTTCAATAGTATTCAGTGTTGATATATGCCAACTAGTTCATTTTCTATGTTTTTTTCACATTGGTGTTGACCAGCAGAAATGAAATCTCCGGGACTCTGATCATTTCTGGATATTCATTTTCCTTCGTCTGTACTGTAATCGAGCTCAAAATTATTTATTGGTGCAAATTTAAAACTCTTCTACAATTTTTCACTTAGACTCTTGTCTAAGATCTATGCTGTCAGATCTATGCTGGTCACAGATGTCCACATCAGTGGTCAATATTTATTTGGTGATCTGAGAAAATTCTCATGATGATTAGTTGAATAAAATGTTGAGACGCAAATTTATGAGTCAGTTGCTCACAACTTTCTGCAGGGTTGAATTTACCTTTTGGATTCGGCATTCAGTTTGATTTGATAGACTTCTATCTAATATTTATAGTTTTGGAAATGCTTTGAAATTATTTTCACAGACTTCAAATCAGAGATATTCACAACTTTATTCCAAACCATTCATAGCACTTGCTGCCCAAACTTGCTGCAACATATATATCATTCAAAATGGAGTGACCGTGTAGATCACCACATCTCAACACATTGAACTTTTTCCAAAGTTCTCAATCAAAATATTGAAAATGTCTCCACAGACTTGGCAGTAGTAGTGATCTTGAAGACCAAAGTGATGAATTTAGAAATACCCGCAATACTATACCAGAGACGAATTTAATTCCGGAGAAGGTCATTATAAAACGATCAACGGAAGACACTTTGTATATTTTCTATGTATTTCTAGTGATTCTGACTGACGAAATTTTATGAAGCTAAGTTCATTACGATTATACTCAAATATTATTCTGTAAGGATTTCAGTAACGCATGGCTGTTTATACATTCTTTACTTGCCATACTGATGCTCACCCTTCATTAATTTGACGCAACGTCGATAAATGAAAGAAAGGTTTTCTAATAATGATGTTCATTCAGCTAATCATGGATTTATGTGTTACTCAAAGAACGCACTTGTGTCTTATTGAAAAAACACGTATCATTCCAATTCAGAAATAATGTGAAAAATTTCAGGTAGAGAAATTCGCAACGAAGATATATTAGCTCAAGCTATGCTTTACATCTCTGGAGGATTCGAAACTATTTCCGGTGTTCTGGTATTCATGTGTTATGAACTTGCAATGAATAAAAATATACAGGAAACACTCAGAAAAGAAATATTAGAAGTAAATAAATCCAACAACGGAAAGTTGACGTATTCCTGCATATTGGAAATGAAATATATGGATATGGTTTTTTCAGGTAGGTTTTATCGATTCTCGATCATCACATTACTGCACGATTTAATTCCTATAGAATGAAAATTTAGTCAAAACTTGTTCAAAGCTTCCTCTAGACTACTCGCGAAGTTGATCGAAGTCGGCGAGTGAAACAATGAACAGGAAGTACTTCGTACTTCAATTTGCTTTGTGTAGGAGTGTGTAACCACGTACTACAATCAACTTCGTGGAACTATTTTCGTGGGTAATGTGAAAGAAGCCAACAAGCATTATGCGCCGTTTCATATGTGATAACATTTCAATCTGAAACTTAGAATCTCGATTATAGGAAAGAGACCAGCGATGTCAAGAAGCAGACATGCAAAAAATTCAATATATTGTCCCAAAAGAGCTCTGAGCCTGGTTCAGATTGTTTGTTGATAATTTCAACGTGAATCGCACGTCCTTTTTTTTTCGCTTTCAAGAATTTGCTTGGTAAACAAGTAGAGCTCAAATCAAATCGTTTTAATATCATGATATTTTCGAAGATAATTCATCTTCCAATAATACATACACCAATTTCTCAATAATACATTTTATATTCAAATCGAGAGGGTTATATTTTTTTTAGGAATGACTAATTTTTTGAGAAAGAAAGTTTTTGGCTCTTTACTACTCCATCTTGATGCAAAAAATGTGGGAATCTTCCAAAGATAGGAACGAAGTAATCAATTTTATAATAAGTTACTCTATACATGGATGTGCAGATCATGCAAAGAAGTAACTTTCAGACACAAACTGAAAGAAATAACCCTCCTGAAATAGCTACTTTCATATAAACATTGAATTACACGAAAGAAAAATTCTTCAAAACAATTATTTTCATATGAACACTAAATTATACAGAATACACTATTCTCTACTCAGTTTGTATTCCAAACATTCGTTATGGAATAAAATCAGGTAACATTCATAGGAATTCTACATTGAATAAATGGTGAAAACTTGCACTTACATGGAACACTGTCATCCTCACTGGTAGACATCGATGTTTAGCCGTAAGACACTTGCCTCTGGGCTCATCACTATCAATCTAGATATCATTATACGTATAATGGGCTCATCACTATCAATCTGGATATCATTATGCTCATCACTACCAATCTGGATATCATTATACGTATAATGATATCCAGATTGGTGCTGATGAGCCCTATGGCAAGTGTCTTACGGCGAAACATCGATGTCTACCAGTGAGGATGACAGTGTTTTATGTGAGTGCAATTTTCTACAATTCATTCAATGTAGAATTCCTATGAATGTTACCTGATTTAATTCCATAACAAATGTTTGGAATACAAACTGAGTAGAGAATAGTGTCTTCTGTATAATTCAGTGTTCATATTAAAGTATTTGTTTCGAAATAATTTTTCTTTCGTGTAATTCGATGTTTATATGAAAGTAGCTGTTTCAGGAGGGCTTTTTCTTCCAGTTTGTGTCTGAAAGATACTTCTTTGGATGATCTACACATCCATGTATAGAGTTCCTTATTTTAAAATTGATTACTTCCTTCCTTTCTTCGGAAGATTCCCCCATTTATTTTATCAAGATGGAGTAGTAGAAAGCCAAAAACTTTCTTTCCCAAAATACATTCAATGTGTTTCTCTGTTTTTTCAAAATCTAAAAAAATTGATGGCAACCAATTTTCAAAGTCCAATAGAGTTATTTCTATAGAATGTGATATCAAGTGAGACTCATTCAATGAAAACAAAATACAATAATGTAAAGGTGAAAAAAAGTTTTCTGTAGGGTCTCGAATCAGTATATTAGACGCTCAAATCTGGTGTATATCTATTTATAGAAAAAATTTTGTTTCTGTTGACTGATTTAGTGCGTGCTAAAAGTCCCATAATTTCATGAATTTCCATTCTTCATGATCAGTAGCTGCCGTAATCATTTGGTACTATTCTATTCAAAACATAAGGCACTTTCTGCCTAATGTTTTGAATTGGATATATTATCTTGGGAGTTTGTTAATTTACTGGAGATGTTGTTGATGAATTCATGAATGTACCCATAACTTCGTGGTAGGAACATCATGGAAAATGAGAAATAACACTTCATGTTTTCATACCACTTGTATTTTTTACTGACGTTAATGCAGTTTTGTCATATATGGACATTTTCAAACGAATACAATTAACTGAAATGACAATTGATGTTAACTCCTATAGGATATTCACGTTAAGCAGAGAATGCCGTCATTTTTGATAATTTTCTATATCCAACATAACAACGTTGAACTTCCCAATGAAATGCGTTCAATAGGTAGTTTCAGACGTTGCCGATTCGAAAAAAACTCGAAAACTGTCAATCTTTCTTTTCTTTTCAGAATTTATCATTTATATATTGTTTATGTGGGATAATGTGGCCGTTATTTCTCAAGCAGGTAAGCTGAACATGAAAGGTCATTCAGGCTAGGTGAACATGATTCGACGTTTTCAAATCATTCCTTGGAATGCAACCACAAATTCCCGAATATGAACGATACGGAAATTTTCCACTTTGCTTTGCTTTTGCACTGTGCTTTGAAAGCAAGGGCTGGAAACTCAATCATTTGAAATACCTTGAAATCCATAAGCATAAACATTGCGGATGTGATAAACCAAATGATCAAATCGATCTTGTCTACTCGCCAGTTTTCAGAAGAGCGTACCCACATTGTCTCAGGTGAACAAAATTTAGGTACTCCAATTAAGTTGAGGACCTCAGTTATTACCTATTGTAATGTATGAATATATTCGTTTGAAACTATCCGTATAGGCCGAAACTGCAGTAACGTTGATTACTGCAGTGGTATGTAAATATTTGAAGTTTTATTTCTCAATTTTGATGAAAATGTTGTTTTTGATCTATGCTCCATAATAAGCTCACTGAATGTACTTAATTCCTGTTCTACTCGTAACTTTGTATTGAACTGAGTTGCACATTCATTAAGTGAGTTCTTGCTCTACATGTCTAATTGTCAACTTGTCTAACTAATCTTAATGAACTGAAGTCTATGGAATCGTTTTGTTGCAGAATATATTGGGCGAATGCTTATTTTTCTGATCTTCCATATTTCAGGTGTGCTAAGTTTTCCTTAGATCTTATTCCAATGGATCTTTCAGTCTGTCCATAATATTTTGCCCCACAGTCCCTAAATTCAATTTCGTAAACTCCAGACTTTTCCGAATTCTCGACTTCGTCCTTCGGATTTCCTAAAAGGCTCTGTAGTGTATGACTTGTTTCAAATACTACCTTCATACCGTGTTCCTTGAAAATATTTCCAAAGTTCTTGGTGTATTTGTGATATATAACTGAGATATAATCATCTTGGTATTTGTCGTTTCTAAAAGTCGAGATTTCGTTCATTCTCAACCTAAACTTTTTCTTCCTTATAATATCATCTATAATACCCCTCGAGAAACCACTACTTTCTGCTATTTTCTGTTTTGTCCGTTATTATTTCGTGAACCAATCATATGTAGTAGGAAAGGTCAAAAGACGATGCACTAGAAAATTCAGCACAGAACCGCCTTATAAACTCAGTTGTTCTTGAAGAATATCAATGAAATGAATGAATCAATATTTCCATAGACAGCCAAGCTTCACTTGGGGTACAAATAAGTCCAAAAGTGACATCAAAACTGGTCTGGATATGACGTGCACGACTGAGAGTACTAGCCAAATTGACTCTACACTAGGTGTCAGAACACTCTGATATGTATCATCAATACTATATGCAGGGCCTACTACCAGTAACATTACCGAAATCTTCGTTGTGGAACCGGATTGGAAAGTGGGTCTACAAGAAACATGAAAAGTAATTGAAAAACAAACTGTTTGGAAAGACAATGGAAGAACTTCTTCACCAGAGCAAGGATCAGCTAATAACAATTACTCAACATTTTCCACTGAGAAGATACTGAAAAACATAGAGCTGTTCACAGAGACTATGCAACTAACGGACAGAAATAGCTTGATAGGTTTTATGTGGATGTGAGGCACTGGATCACAGAAGGAAAGCAATCTATGGATAACACACATCATGACTACAAAAAAAAGAGTTTCGTGGTGGCCATGCTAGTGGACGAATATGCTGATAACGTCCGCCCACAAAGAAGGTACGCGGATACGTTTTGTGTTGTATGTTAGTCCGTTTTGATAATAATTGAATTATGTGAAAGACCATTCTGAAGTTGACAATAAGGGGCATTTTTATACACGCCGGTATCCAGGCCGGAGTGGTTCGGATAACCACGTAAAGGGGGCTGTATATGTGAAAAAAAACAAAATATCTTCCGTGCAGGAGGCGACTTAATAAAAAAATTCTATTGTTTTCATAAAAAAAAAAGTTCAACAGAAAATTGGTGGCCGCATTGCTTCATGCAAGTCCGCTGCGCCCCCCCGACGAAGCTCCTGTCAACCTTGATAGGAGGAGCCTGAGTGGGAAGTAGCGTCCATCCAAAATATAGAGAGAGACTACAAAAATATGACAAATCTCCCACAGAAGACTCGTACATACTGGTACAGAAAACAAAATTGTTGAAATTGGCTTCAAATGAGAGATTGAGAAGAACGCAATGAGCCCATGAACTGGCAATGTTTTCTACAGACATGTATAAATGAGAATGGAATAACAGGAATGTAATATTCAGATTTTCTCATCAGAAAAATCATATCAAGAAATATCAGGAAATGAACAATGAGTATGGAAAGTGAAAGTTGTGACTTGAATAAAAAAAAACGTGTACTCAATTACAAGTATTTCAGAAATTGTGAAGAGTGCAGTTTTATTTCGAAATATTTCATACTATATACTGAAATATGATGAAAAGATGCTCTCTGTATATTTTGTTAATCGACTATCGTTTCCATTCGAACTATTTCAAAAAATCAAAACTTGTAGCGATCATTAACGAGGTTTTACGTTTCGGAGTGCACTTTCTGACACGGTTCAGAGAATATGCAGTGAATATTCATCGTCGTGAAACCGCCTTCCAACCAGTAGGTTCTTGAATATTTTCTGGAATGGAAAATATTCCACATGGAAATATAAATTATACTGTTCTTCAGTAGGTGGAATTGAAACTGGCTGAGGAAATACCGATGAAGAATCTGACGGATAGAAATATTCACTGTTAACAATATGTTTCGAAAAGTTTCGAGAAACGAATATTATGTATAAACATGGCAGAAAAAATTAAAATAAAAAAAGGCATAATAAATGTACTCAAATGACCTTGAGTACCATTGAAACAGTTTTCCAGGAGGAAAGTTTCGATATTCATTTTGAAGAAGCTTTTGTTCGAGGAATTCCCATAAATTTTTCATCAATTTTGAAGGTTTGTATCGAGGTTGTATGAACAGATCTGCATTTTTTGTATCATGATGATGAACACCGTGATACGAAATGAATGGATAGATGCATTTTCATGAATGATAGTGGTAGTATCCCCATTTTTCAAAGAGCGGATCACAGGGATCACTATATGTGGTATTCATCAATATTCTTTCTGTTTTTTTCTAGTAGTCTGAAGATTTTTATAGAATGAGGAGAATTAGCCCACATAACTATTTCAAAACTGATATGTGACCGGAATAAGACAAAATAAGCAATTCCCAGAGCGTCAAAAGGCAATACTCTATTCAACTGTCGAAAAGCAAATACTCTCACATAACTTCCTATTTAGTTCATCTATGTATTCTTGATAGTTTCATAGTCGAGAACGCTTCAATTTACACAGACAGCTGTTCCATAAGTATGACTCAAATAACCTGAGTAGTACCCTCCTCACTCCATAAAACTTAAACCTTTTGAAAAGACCGTCATACGACGCAGTCGAATGCTTCAGGAAAATAACACATGCTCGACTCCTCATGTTGATTTCTCACAAGACCTTCAACAACTAGATCAACAGATTTTCGAATAGCGTCTGTTGTTGATGTTCACTAAATAATTGGTCCGTAACAAAAAAGTTCATGAGTCTGTTCTTAAAAATTATTTATTCGCAAAATGATAATCATTTATATGAGTATATATTTTTCAACCGGAGGCTGGTCCCTCTTTCCAAAATGTGGCAATACTTTTATAAGTACATCCAAACATATCTGGAAAACGACCGTTTGTATGCATGAGTTGAATGAAAGTGTCGGAGGATATATGATTGCTTTAGTGAATCAATCCCTTGATTATTGCAGTAGGTAACTAGATAAATCTCCACCACAAATACAAAGCATTATGAAACAACAACAGGACAGTGCGGTTTTGACTCACCATACGTCTCATCAGTGGGACTAGGCAGAACCACATCTTGTGATGCCCTGTTTCGAACCTTGGTGTAGTAATGATTATTACTGAAGTTTTTTACCAACACCAAACCGTGTTTCAATCACCTAGTGATTATCTTCAAGAAGAAGATTGAACTGAATACCATACCATACATGTATACCATACATACATCTGCTAGATACCCGCGTCTTAATCGTCTTGAATTAGTTTCACAACGTTGCTTTATCTTCTGATCCCAAATTAATTTTACAATGTTGCCTCATCTGATAGTCGGCCGAATCTTGATACTTAAAATATTATTTCAATAAGCTATATAATGTTAGGTATTGATCCACCATCATTATTCATAATATCATTATGTTCATTTATTTCTACACTCTCATTGGCATGTAGATGCCTGTTGTTGTTAACTTGTCTAACTAATCTCAATAAACCTAAAGTCTATGGACCAGTTTTGTTGCGAAATATGATAGGCGACTGATGATTTTTCTAGTTTTCCATCTTTCAGGTGTGCTATGTGTTCCTTATATCTTATTTCAGTAGATTTTTCAGTATGTTCATGATATTTTGCCTCCCAGTCCCTACATTTAATTTCTTCAATTCCACACTTTTCCGAATTCTCAACTTTGTTCGTTGGATTTTCTGAAAGGCTCTGTAGTGTTTGACTTGTTTTTAATACTATCTTCATACCTAATTCCTTGGAAATATTTCCAAAGTTCTTCATGTATAGGTGATAAGCACCTGAGATATATCCATCTTGGTATTCGTCGTTTCTGAAAGTCGAGATTTCTTTCATCCTCAACCCAAACTTTATCTTCCTTATAATATCACCTATAATACCCCTCGAAAAACCATTACTTTCTGCTATTTTCCGTATTGTCCTTTATTCTTTTGTGAACCTATTATATTTGGTAGAAAATATTAAAAGAAGATGCACAAAAAAATTCAGCACAGAAGCGCATTGTGAACTCAACCTTTCTTGAAGAACAAACCTAAGTAAGGAAATGCAATGACATCTCTCTTCACGAAGAAGCAATTTGTAGGGTTCTCTGAGTGTTCAATCCACGTATATCAGAGCTAAGCAAGGTTTTGTAGGATTTGTAAATATGTGTGCGTATTTGTGAGTTCCACAGAATGTTCAATCGACGTTCATCCAAGCTGAACAAGGCTCTGAACGATGCAGTGGAGGACAAAGCACGAATTTCGGTTGGAAATCGTCGTTGAAGCTTGTAATCTGCTTTGAGGCAGTGGAAATATATTTTATTTCAAGTATTTTGTTTTCATGATTGTATCATTTGATGCATCCGTGTCATTTATGAATCACAATCGGATTTGATAAATATTTCATTTTATCACGAATAATGTAATTCATTGAGTGAGGTTATGATATGCTGATGGTTCAAAAATTGTATGATTCTACTCTGGCTCCATATTTTCACTGATTATATTATTTCTATGGCAACCAAAGTGATGATGTTCCTAGTGATACTGCCTTCCATAGTTCATTTTTTTCATGTCATCGAAAATACATTACACTGATTGGATATTGATTTTAGCCAACTATTTTCACCGTAGTTACCTTTATCATTGAAAATTACACTCATCCCACTTTTTGATGCGAAAAACATTCATTTCACGTAAAATGATGTGATTGTTGAAAAAAATTCATGTTTTTTTTTGGTGTCAACGAAATCTATGAATATCACTATGAATATCTACTACTATGAATATCACCATCGTGTTCTGAGTAGGCTTTATTGATGAACATATAAGTTTCCTAGAGAGCATCATAGCTATCATTAAGAGTCCCTTCAGCCACATAACAAAGTAGAGTCAACTCACCTTTAGTAAGATTAATTTTTGCAGTCAGTTTGGCGTCAGTTCGGCGCTAAATATTGATGTCATGATCACACATTATTCATTTTTGAATTTTTTTTCAGAAAGTTTGAGAATACATCCAGTTATATCAGGATTTGAAAGGACTTGCACCGAAACGTATACTATCGAACCAGCAACTATAGACGAACCACCGCTGGTGATAGAAAAAGGTATATTAGTGTGGATTCCACTTTATTCGCTACATCATGATCCAGAATATTTTGAGAATCCATATAAATTTGATCCAGAACGATTCAATGATGAAAATAAAAATAAAATTGAACCATACCAGTATATGCCTTTTGGAATGGGACCGCGAAATTGCCCGAGTATCAGATTTGGAATGATAACGGTGAAAACTTTGATATTCTATCTTCTATTGAATTTTGAAATCTCTCCTACTGACAGAACACCAAATCCAATACGGTATCGCAAAAAGTCAATGTTTCTAGCACCTGAGAAACGCATATTTTTTAATATGACGAAACTACATACCTAATGATATGGGTAACATATTTCATCATCTAACTATCTAAATATTGCATTTAGCGAGCCCGGAAATGATTTGATTCATTCATATCAACCAGAATGTCTCTTGTATCTTTCTGAGCTGATAAATGTATTGTTGGATCAAACATGTTTGTTTAGTTGATAGTAATTTGTTTTCTATTACATTATGAATTGAATGCTTGAAACGCAAGTTTTAAAATACAAGTAATGTAGAAGATGCAGTTTATCTCTTTTGTCACACCTCACATACTCTTTGATTGGTGCTTCTCAATCTGAATGATATATTTCAGTTTTAAATGGTATGTCTTTATAGTATTTTCTGAACGGAATTGGGAACTATAAGTGAAAATTATTGAGTATATGGTTTGTTTTCTCGGCGTAATTTCCATCAACTTGTCACCTTCATATTTCCATTGCAAACTCATCCAAAAACATTCCCAGCCGTTTCTTGAAAATGAGCCACACTGTTTTTGTATGTTATAACTTTGAATGAGGTATGGAATTCAACTTTTTTTGAATAATAAATAATAACTATGAAAAGTGAGCAAATTTTTTTACCTGTCACACCTTTAAAAAATGTGAGAATTTGTCGATTATTTCCGCTTGTACTGGTATCGTCAAACGGTTCATCAGTAGCTTCCGAAAACTATATGGAGAAAATGATGAACTGGAAGGGACGAATTAAATGTACCTAAGTTACGTAACTTCACAGTTTTATATATAATTTAATTTTCCATTCTCATAACTCATTGCAACTGATGAATAATTTCAAATTTTTTTTTCCAATTCAACTAATCGAACTATCATTCAAATATTTCTTTATTTCGATTTTCAATTTCATTTTTTTTCAATTGATTGAAAAGTTGAAACTTTTGCGAGCTAAGTATTAACGAGGTCTTACTTATTAACGTGCGACCCCTGCTGCAGGAATAAATAAATACATCGGTTTAGCCACCAAACGAAATGCATTCTGGAAATATTATTTCAGGAATCTGGTTATATACATGAAATTATGATCGGACAACAATCTGGCAAAGCTGAATTTTGGTAGAGACTTTGAGTATACCGGTAGAAATGAAGTTTCAAAAGTCCTATAGATCGCATGTGTGCTAAAGAAGTTACTCAAGTTCGAAGGTCAGAATTTTTGATTATTTGATGGACTTTTGGATTTTTCTCGAAAATGATTAGTTTTATCAAAGATACAGCAGACAAAAATTACAGATCATAAAATCACATACAGAAACTGTCTTCATAAATTTTTTTCTGAAAATAACAATTTCTACGGTATCGGCATTCTAAAAGTTGAAGGATCAACACCGTACATGATATGCACACAAATGCGACGTATATAAATAGTCAGGCACTGAATATTAATGAAAATGCCTATTTGGGTATTTCATATCTTTAAAATATATAATTATGGGAATATACTCTCATAGGAAACTAAGTCACTTAGCCAATCCCTTCTACCCCTTTGGGCTTGATCAACAAGTGCCTACTCTATTCTCCGAGTTGAATGTTCCTTCCGAGTGGATACACGTGTTTATTGCTAACACGTGTATCCACGTGTATTCCGCAGAAGGCGGAATTTTCTGTCCTTTTTGGAGAAAACCGATGCCTGTGTCTTTGTGGCATTGAATTGAAGCTGGTTACTTTCAGTCCAATCTGAAATAATTTCTAGATGCTCAATAAAATATGCAACCTCCTCTGCTGGTGGAGATGTTCGTCTGCAGACGATGTCTTGGAGTTCAAATGGAATGACGAGGCAAATGTGCTGTCGTCGGCGAAGCAATATATTAGATTTCCGGTTTTTTTTCGATATTTTGTTGATATACAAAAAAAGAGGGTTGTAGACAATATAGGCTGAACGAGAACAATCTTTCAACATAGAGGGATTCTAGTGTGAGAAATGTGGGTGTTGGCTTTACCAGAAAATCGACTGTGGATTGGTATGTAAGTTGTTCAACTGGTAGATTTGCTTTTTTCGCTGTTCGATAAATTCAGTTGTGGAATTTCAACGCATATGATAATTGAATAATCTTTGATGGGATAGAGATAGACAGTTGGAAGTATGTTTCGACAAAAAAAAACACAAAAAAAATGAACGGATGAACTATACTAACATCTACTTCGAAAACACTCTCAGTCACTAATGTTAATTTAGAGAATCTCTGGAAGCAAAAGATGTACAGTTTTCTACTTCCGAAAGGGGATGAAGCAAAAGGGGATGAAGCAAAATGGGATATTGAAAAGTTGACTCGAAAGTTCAGGAATATATATATAAAAGTAAAGCTCTAGTAGCTCATGGAGAATGGGATCAGCAAAAAGATGATTAGATATCTTGATGAAAAATGAGAGATAAAACTTCCTATCTTTTTTCAACACTTATATTTGTAATTACCGCTACTGCAGTTTCATCATATAAGGATATTTTCAAACGGAATTTAACTGTATTCGTTTGAAAATGTTCTCATAGGACAAAACCGTTAGTTACAAATACAAGTGGTGAAAAAACATTGTGAGTTTCATTTTTCATTTCTCATGATGATCTTCTACCACGTAGGCTACATCTATCAATTCACATATCTGTTTAAGAAAATCTGTTTTTCCGTTAATCAGTTGTCGCTCCCATATGAACCACAACTCTCAGAAGTTGAGAAACTTGTGCGACCTAAGGACTAACGAGGTCTTACCTTTTAAAGTGTGATTCCTAACACGATTATGATCAGTTAAAATAATGCAACCGGTACCTGAATTCAAAAAAGTATTTTTCAGGACCATACTTTGTTCAAATTAATAATCGATTGACTCATCACTTGTAAATATATAATTTTTGTCAGTTGCTTTGGTTCCGTCATCATCACATTCATCAAAAATAACTTCAACATTGGTGTCACAGTGAATATTTGTTATTCAATGTATATATAATTGATAGAAGAAAAATATAAGTCACCGGAAACTGAACTTCTGATATAATTACCATACAATTTTTCTAACAATAGTTCCTTCCTACTTCCAAATTATAAAAATCCAAATATCAAAATCGAAGCTGTTTCTGAGGACTTCCAAAGCATGACTGTTTTAGTATTCACTGACGTGACTGGCAAATGGGGTGCATATTTTCATCCTACTGCATCCTGAGTGCCGATATTTGGATAACTGCACTGAGTTGAATTTCTGGTAACATCTATGATGAGAAATGAATATTCGTACCTAGAATTAGTCACCAATATTTTTATCACAATTACATATTAAGTCACTTACGTCCGCGGATTNCTTTTAATACTCTTGACAACCATTAAAAACGTCACTTTTAATGACAGTTGTACAAAAATATTTTTTCTGTGCGGAACCGAAAACAAATATATTTCGAAATGATTTCAAAACATATTCATCGAGGAAAAAAATGCAAAAACAGGTCGATTATTAATTCAAGAGGGACATATTTATCTCAAATTCAACTGTCATAAGCCCTCTTCGGCCCCTTTGTGGCCATCACTCTCAACTTTTCATTTTGACGCCTTCTTGCAGAAAGAAGAACTTTGAATTGGAGGGGTTATATTTTTAGGAGTGATTAATTTTTGTGAAAGAAAGTTTTTGGCTTTTTTGTATCAAGATGGAGTAGTAGAAAGCCAAAAACTTTCTTTTCCAAAAAAGAAGAACTGTTCCGTATTTCAAATTATGATACTTCATTTGAACAAAAATCAAAATAATAAATCATATGAACCTGATAAATTGAAAAACATTCATGATTTCAATGATTTCAAATAAGTTGATTTACGATTAATGCTCGAACTCATCTACATCAACTGAAATATTAGGTAGTTTACTGATCCATAGAGAATTTTTCAATCCATTTAACGTTGCTGTACATTTTTCACTCCAAATTTTAATATTTGACTCTTCTCAGCTCTTTTCCTATGATTCATTTGAACAATTTTCTACCATTTTTTCTTAAGGATTTGAATTGAACTAATGCGCTGCCAAAACAGCTCAAATATCGAACAGGCATTTGCCAATAAGAGTGTTGATGAACGTACTGTTCGACGTTGGTTTGCAAAATTCTATTCCGGAGATTTTAGCCTCGAGGATGAGCCCCGGAGCATAGTATTTCAGGATGAGGATTTGAGGACTTTCGTGGACACTGACCCAACACAAACGGTGTATGGGATAGCGAAAGAACTCAGGTCAGGTTCCATGTGGTTTTTGATGGTTCAATACGTACTGGAGAAGTCAAAAAATCAAAAGAGTGGGTGTCATATGATTCGAACGATCGACAGAAATTGTTTTCCTTCGCGCAACCAAAAAGCGGATCGTCATGTGTAATGAAGAGTGGATCCTCTACGACAACAGAAGTCGTTGAGAACAGTGATTGGACACCCATAAGTCACCCAGGCACATTTCAAAGGCAGAAACCCATCAATGAAGACCATAGTTACTGTATGGTGATCAGCGGCTGGTATGATTCAGAAAAGGTTCTAGAAAGGTTAGGTGAAAGTTGTCAAGTTGACTTGGGTGTCACACCAATAGGTGGTTCCACTTATGTTTCGCTTGCGTTTACGCAGCTATTTTTATGAAGTACTTTTCTGGTTTTTCACATTTTGTCTTCAATCGAGGACCGCCTGCCCGGTTCTTGACGTGCTCAATAGGCTGAAACAGCTGTCTACCGGTGGCTCTTAAATTGAAATCAATATGGGAATGATCAAAGAG